GGGAGGGGCCACAACAGTGAGAGGCCCGCGTACCACAAAAAAAAAAAAAAGTGGCATCTTAGCCAGGAAGCGGGTTGAGTCGCATAGCCCCTTCTGAGATGCAGAATTGCTTTCTGTTCTCAGGCTTCAGTCATGCACTTTGAGCAAGTTCTACTGCCTCCTGCAGAATGAGGAATGGGCCTCCATAAGGTGCTAGAGTGCAAGCACTCCAGGCAGCGTAGGAGGTGGAGATCCATGGCCAAATTCTCATTTCTACTTGCCCATTCCCTCCATTTCCCTATTTAATTAGAGGGTGTTCTAACTCAGACAAATTTAGCACATTTTTGTAAACGTTTAGTCCTTATCTACTACATGCAGGTACAAGACACAAAAACACAATCTCTATAGGAAAGGGGTTAGGTCTAATCAGAGAAAACAATTATTCTCAAAAGAGTATATACTGTGTTTTTTTGTTTGCTTGTTTGGTTTTTTAATAAGGGCAATGATACTACTGCAGTTCAGAGGGAGTGGAGTATTCCCAAGAACTGGAATGTTTCGGGAGTGTTTCATAAAGGAGGTAGGAGGGATGTGAGCTGGACTCTGGAGAAAAGAGAAGTGACACTGAAGGCAAAGAGGGGCAAAAGCCAATGGATTAGCTGGTAAAAGGATCTGTCTAAGTAAATATCATGTATGGAATGTTTACCAAACCATCTGGTTAGTGGGGTTAGGACAAACCCTGAAGAGGTGGGTTGCGGCCAGCTGGGCAGCAGCACCTTAAATGCCACATTAGGACATCAGATCTCATCCCATAAGTCTGCAGCAGTTTGACTTTGGTGTAGGATCTCCATAGTTGTGAATTATGTCTGTTGCTCATAACAGTTAAAAGTGTTGACATTTACAGGTGAATTATGTAAATACAAAGTTAAAGTAGATGGAAGGGCCACTATTCTAACATCCCTACTCATCTGCACTTAAAAATGCCCAGCACAGAAGTACTGCTATTAATAACATACACTGAATCAAGCAAGCATCATCCAATACTCATAAGTATTCATGAGGCAGTAAAAGCATTAAACAAAGGCAATAAAGTTCTTGGATATTCTATAATTTCCTTGGGGCAGCAATTCTAACACAGGGTTAGACTACGAATGGACTTTAATGGACCCCCTGACCTCCCTAAAATTGCATGCAGAAGTTAGTGTAGTGAAGTTGACTGAGTGGATCTGTCTCTTTCTATATCTCTAAGAGGTCAGATACCCAAAATATGTTAAGAGCCTAACTTAGGGTTGTTTTAATAGAAAACAGCGAGAATCTGGGGACTTCCCTGGCGCTCCAGTAGTTAAGACTTCGCCTCCCAATGCAGGGGGTGTGGGTTCCATCCCAGGTTGGGGAGCTGAGATCCCACATGCCTCACAGCCAAAAAACCAAAACAGAAAACAGAAGCAATATTATAACAAATTCAATAAAGACTTTAAAAATGGTCAACATCAAAAAAAATCTTTAAAAAAAAAGGAAAGAAAACAGCGAGAATTTAACCCTGTGGCAGCCTTAACTTTCTAAAGGAAGTGTTAATGGGGGGGGGAGGGTTGGGGGGAAGTTAGATTGAGGCCATTTTGAGAAGTTCCTAATATTTTCATATCTCCCTCCTTTCTTGTAAAGAACTGCCCAAGGAACTAGTCTCACCAAAATCAAAACTCATTCAACATTCAAAAAATGGCCCAAGGGAGGGTAATAAAATATCTAAAAACTACTCACTCAACTTCTCTCTCTTCTCACAAGTAAGGGAAACAGCAAGAGGCCACCAGCTGCCTCTGGTTTCAGCATCTTCTCCAAAAAGATCTCCTGACCAAACAGCTAGTTTCCTTCAAAATAACACATTCTGAGGCGACAAGATCCTGACACAAACCCACAAAGTATTGTTGTTTGACTTCTTAGTCGTCTCAGGCAGGCTTGCTGTAAGACCATATACAGGAGCCTATGCTGAGAAGCCAAAGGACCACAGGGAAAGAGAAATGTGTTTTGGAACACTCAGAACTCTTCCTAGACCTGCACACCTTGCCCAGCGTCTCTAACCCTCCTACCCTCACAAGAAGCGGGGGCTGGCGGTCTGTTTTCATTGCGCAAGATACATTTACTCTATTAAAAGTTAATTTGGCATTCACGAGACAAAAAGAAGTTTCATTTCTTTTTCTGATTCTAGCACACTCCCACATTTCCTCTGTCTCCTGATTACACTTGCCAGATTATCTCTTTAGGAGATAAAATCAATCAACTCACCACCATAATATTCACTTTCTCCCAGAGGCAAAAGAGCCTTACCACAACTCCAAAGAGTGGTGGTCCAGAACCAAAGAAATTCTGTCCCAAAATAAAATTCGGGCATCATGAACATTTAACCAGGCCCTTCAGGAAGAAGCAAACGGTAAGCTCCGAGAAGCACAGAAGGCAGGGGCCGGGCAGAGGGCCTTCGCCCTGTCAGAATCACAGGGCCGTCACACTGGCCTGCCTGGTTCGCGGGGGCTTTCGACTGTTTCGTCTAGTCTTAGTCTCAAGCGGTCTGAAAGTCAGTCGCAGGAGCGACATCTAAGAAAATGGTACGTGTGTTTCTCACCTGGGAACAACACAAGACCCCGGAGAGCATCAAGCTGGCACTGGACACGTTTCAGCGCTGCGGGTCAGCGGAGCCCAGGGCTGTAGTCACAGAAACTAGTTTCCCGCTACACCTCGGGAGCGGGGCTCTCGGACCTCCACCCCGAGGCCGTCCTCCGACCTCGGCACCAGCATCTAGGAGGCTCCACGGGCGGCCCGTCAGGACGATCGAGCGATGCTCAGCCGATACCCCTTCCCTGCGCGCGCCAGCTCCAACCCCGCGCCCGCCGCCGCCCGCCCCGCGGCGTCAGGCCGGTCTTTCGGCCCGGCTCCTGTCACTCACCGGCCGGCCCGGGCAGCGGGCGCCCACGGCTCCCCACGGGAGCTGGGCCCCCCCGGGCCTCCAGGTTTCGACCCGCCCCCTGGCAGGCAACGCAGGTGGCTGAGCCCCGCAACAGCGGCCCCACACCGGCCGCTCGGACCACCTCCCGGCGCTGCCCACTAGGTACGGATCAACAACAAGATGGCGGCCAGCCGAGGGGGCGGGGGCCGGGCGTCATAGTAACCTGGACGGCAAAGAACCCGCCCCCGGCTCAGAATATCCCCAATCAACAACCTCTTTGCCCGACGCCCAGGAGAGTGCCTCCCGCTGACAGGTCGGCCAGCTTGTCAGTCAGACCCTGCCTCTCGCGGCCCGTGCCGAACGCCTCAGCACGTGACTGTGACGGCACGGGTTGGCGCATGCGCGCCGTTCCCGGAGTTGCTGGCGGCAGAGCTTTCACGGGGTACTCCGAGTCCGTACCACCCTTGGCATCTCTTAGTATGCCGCCCCCGTGCGCAGCCGGCAGCGTCTTCTTCCACGCATGCTTAGGGAATGTTTGCTGTGTGCTACATCCCTTTTTTTTTTAATCACTCACCCTAGAAGGCAGGACTTGTCCCTCCCTAGTGAGGAAGCTGAGGCTCAGAGGGGGAGGCCGGGCCAAGGTTACACCACCTCTGGAAATGTAAGCACCAGGTTTCGTGCCTCCTCTTACCGGCTCCAGTGTATAATGCCCTCTTCCCAGCGGCTTCCCTAGGTTTGCCCTTCATCAGCCTTTTGTGCTGCCCCAGCAGTCCCTGGCCTGTTGCCCACGTTTGTCCTGCCTGGAGTTCAGTCCCCAATTCAGTCCCCAGCACAAGCCCTGGCACACAGCGGGCACTCTTTCTTCCTACCCTAGAGCATCTCGTCTTGACTTCTTATAACATCTTTTGCCCTGGATTGTCATGATCTGCCCCCGAGGCCAACTATGAGTTTTGGGAAGACCGTTACCCCCCATGCAGAGAACCTAGCCCTGGGCTTGGCATCTGATGCAGTCGCACAGCCTGACCCACATCAAGTACCTGGACTAGCTAGTTTTGTTACTATTGAGGCTTGGTTGCCCCACCTGCGGAATGAGGATAAAAATTAAGCTCCTCAGAGATGAGGATTTAATAAGCCCTTAGAGCAGGGTAAAGTGCTCAGAAAAAATCCACCTGCAACCCCTTCCAGTAAGGGCCTGCTGTCAAGTTGCTGGCCCTGAGGCCAGCTCTAACACCCTCACTTTATTGGAAGCACCGTGAAGCATATTTTTCCCACAGAAGGCACTCAGCTTCTCCCTCCACCTGGGGTACCATAACTGGCTCAGTAAGGGAGGATCTCTGGTACCCTAAGATGGTTCAAGTCCACAGACCTGACAGAGGGGAGAAGATTGAGAGAACCTGGGGACACCACAGTAAAGGTAGCCTCCACCAAGACAGCAGGTCCTCTGGGAGAGCTGTCAGTAACCTGAGACCTGATGCCAGGCTGGGTATTGGGAGTGAGCTAGCACTGCACCCAACAGAACCCCCCCTCCTGCAGGCTACTGTAGGCCACCCGGCCATGTGCAGCAGCTTAGCTCAGCACAGGGAGGACAGAGGGCCCTGGAACTAGAAGAAACAGATAAGGAGGAAATGGGAACACCTGCTCAAAAGGGGGCTACTCTCAATCCCTCCATGGCCACCCATGCCACAGGGTGCTCAAGTCTGCACCAACCCTCACCTCAATGCAAAAGCTCCAGATCCTTTTCAAGAAAACCTCCACATACAGTTGGCAAACTGCCCTGGAAGTTGGTGGGGCTCTCAAACGAACAATGCCCTCCTTTCAGTGGGAAAAGGAAGCTCTTGGGCCCTTCCCATCTGCCAGAGCAGGTGTCCTCTGAGGGGACAGGCCAACTGGAGGCCCCCTCAGTCCCCCTCAGTCACTGGCAAGGATAACAGCTTCTTACATTTCAGAGCATTGTACAATGCCTTCTTAAAAGAAAAATAACCTTACTACTCCCTACAATGTTTCCACAAGACAGGGCATTCTCCAAGTGAGAACAAGGAAGCACAGATCTCAGAGCTTCTCCCACATGTAAGTTACAAGGCTAGGACTCTTCTCTTTGTAATTTTGTTTATTATTGAATCAACTTGAAAACACATAATCATGTGAAGAAGAAATTCCACAAATATGATGCAGCTTCTTGGCCTCAGAGCCAGCGCCGGGCTCCTGTGTGCGTGTTGAACAGGTAATCTCTGCCTGTACCTAAGCTCAGATGGTCAGGGGAGAGGGAGGGTACTGCTGGCTTCAGCAGAACTACCTCCATCCCCTAAGGACAGGGAAAGGTATTCCAGGACCCTTGGTGTGACCCCCTCCCTTCTGCTTGATCCAGCTTGTCCCCTCCCTCCTTTCTCAGCACATCCTTTGAGGTCTGGCTCAAATGCACAGGAAGCATCCATGATTCCCCAAAACTGGACACCAGCTCCCCTAAGCCCAGTGCCAGATTACTCTGCTATAATTCACGGTGACAGCGGAGCATTTGGGGGCCTCTTCCCTCACCACCTTTCCCCCTTTCCCCCATGGGCAGGAACCAGATCACGTTCGCCAGGTGTTTGGCAAACACTGGCTGAGGGGTGAGTGGGGGTGAGAAGAGACCCCATTCAGGGAAACAGTAGATAGGATGCCTGGTGGGAGGCAGAGATACTGAAATGGGGTATGGAAAGAAAGTGGGCCCAAGTAGAGAATGGTTTGGAAAGAGGGGGACTCACGGGGGTCCTGTGCTCTGCCATCAAAATGCTGCTGAGGTGAAGAATGAGAGGGTGCAATGAGTTGAACCCTGCCCATGGGGAGCAGGTGGAGGCCTGCCCCCAGAAGGGTCAGGAGCCCACCTGCCTCCTCCATGCTGATGGTGCTGGTATGGGCCCTCCCACAGGAACAGCCATCCATGGGAAAAGGGGCAGGCTTGGCAGGGGAGCACTCTGCAGCAACCTCAGTGCCCACTGCACAGGATGGTAGGTTGACATACCAGGCTCATGACACTGCTGGGTGCCTGGGGTGTCTCCATCCTCGGTGCCTCCATGAACCCCTCAACGGACCCCTCAGTTCCCTGGATACTGGGACAGAGTAGGAGCTGGAGTACAGGATAGGGCTCTGGGCCCCAGCCTGAGTTTAAGAGATGTACTTCCAGGCATAGAGGTATGCAAAGGAGGCTTACCTGTTCAGCAGTAGAGCCTGGGTTGGTTTGCTTGGTACCTGTAGCACCTGGGCCAACCTAAAATGCCAGGAGGAGGGACCAAGCAGTGAGAGCAGCAGACCTGCTGGCTCCAGAAACCAGCACCATTCATCTGCCCCTTTTATTGGGGATAGCCTATGTCTGTATGCAGTGCCCACATTGTTACTCCCACCTACCCCTGGGTTCAGTCCTGTGCTCACAAGAAACTCAGAGTCTAAGGGGAAGGTCAGGTTTCAAATGGAGGGCAGGGGTCAGAAATAGGGATAAATGCCCAATGCATGACAGACTCAGATTCTAAAGCCCTGGGCCTCATCTCATTCCAGGACTGGGTTCTGCCAGCGATGGAGACAACTTTCTCCCAGTGTATCTCTGCCTCTAACCTGATGACCACTGGAAGGAGAGCAGTCCCGAATATCAGTTTGTCTGCTCATCAACTTGGGCAATCTTGGGTAAAACCAGCTATCACAGATGCGATCCATCTGCGATCCAGCCCCCCAGTGGGCTGGGGGGAGGCAGTCAGTACAGGGATAGCAACCCTACCCCCACAGGAGCCTGCTGAGGAGCCAGCCCAGAGCCAAGAGGAGAAGGGCACTGGTCACTGTCAGCACCACCACAAACCAGGGCTCCGGCTGCCAGAAAGCCTCCGTGTCTGTCACAAGCAGAGGTGTCATCATTGAAGTCACCTGAAATGGGGCCACAGCTTCACCACTGCCCTACCAAAATGCCCTGATCATCCAGCCTTCAAAGCCCTCCAAGGGCTGGGCCACCCCGCACCCCAGATTTCTCTTCTGTATTGCCAGGCTCTTTGCACTCAGCAGTTCCCTCCAAAATGCCTTCCCCCATCGTTCCACCTGGAAAACTAGGTCCCTGCATCCTCCAAGATCCTTTCTTCCCACCCACCAAGGGCCTGAGGACCCCCCTCACTGTGGCTCTGTGGGTGCTGGTGGCCACTGTGCTGGCCCTCCAGGGAACTAGATGCACAATGACAGTGGCTGTGGTGCTGAGGTGGGGGGTGGAGGGACCTGCATCGGCCACACGGATCAATAGCTCATAAGTATGGGGCTGCTCTGGCCAGGAGGGCCCCAACATGAGGTCGTTGAGCACCAGGACAGCTCCTTGCAGACTGAATTGGCTCCAACTATTCCCTGAAAACAGAGTGGCAGAAGAAGGGGACCATTGCTGGCCTGCCTCTCCCCCACAGCCCAGTGGTCCCCTTGGCCCTCACCTCCCACAATGCTGTAGGAGAAAGCCAGGCGCTGTGGCTCTTGGGGCACCCGACATGACACCCTGGTCACCTCCATGCTGCGGCCCAGGTGAGTGTGGACGGTGAGCTCCTGAAATGGGGGCTCACACTCGGGGGCATGGTCGTTCACATCCTGCAGGCAGGTAGTCAGATCACCCACTCCCAAACCCCCAGGCCAGCCCCTCAGCCTCCTCCCACCACAGCCAGAACCTTGGTATCAGGCAACAGGTTCCAAAGCTTTCCACAGTGAGACCCCACCCCTCTCCAGCCAACCAGTGGAGGAACCTGAGACAGAGTGCAAAAGCAGAAGGCCAGAGGGAGATATGAACTCTTTCCAATTCTTTCCAAGGCTTCGGGGCTCAATTACCTCCACCTCAATGGTAATTGTGCAAGAGCCTGAGCGGTGGCAGGTGGGGTCCTGGTCTTGGCTATGGTCAGTCAGCAGGACAGTGAGCCTGTGGAACTTCTGCAGCTCATAGTCCAAAGGCCCCAGGAGGCGAACCTCCCCTAGAAGGGGTGGCCACTGCCTCAGCTTGCAGAGTCCACTCTGGCTTCGCCCCTCCATCCCAGCCCTGGGGTGGGAGTACCGCTGAGACGGTCCACAGCAAAAGTGGCAGACCCGCCAGGGGTGGAGTACTCAATGCTGTCGTGCGGGTAATCCATGTCCTTGCCCACCACAGAGCCCAGAAGAGCGTGGGGCCCTGCATCCTCACGAACCCGGAATGTGCGTGGGACACAGGCTGGGGAGAACTCGTTGACAGGTGTTACCATCACCAGTACTGGCACCTCAGCTGGAAGCCATTTGGCAGTCAGGGAGCTGGCCTGGGTTGCCCAGCCCTGCCCTGGCGGCTTAAGGAGGTAGAGGCTCTGGAAGGAGGAAGGACAATAGCCCTCCCCTGCCAAGGGGTCTCAGCGAGGAGAAATGTGCCTCTGCCAGGGGTCTTTGGTGGAGACAACCCTGCCCTATTGGTTTCTGAGGGAAGAGAGATGACCCCATCCTGAGAATAGGAAGAAGGGTATAGAAGAACCCGGTCCTGAATGTCCAGGCCTGGGCATGGTCACTCACTGGTCATCAGAGGCTGACCACCATCAAGCACCAGGATGGAAGCTGCATGATGAAAGCAGGCGCCAGGAGTGTCACAGTCCAGTGTGGCATTCACCTAGTCAGAGGGGCCAGAGGGTGATGCCCAGCCAAGGCCTGGGAGAGCCTTGAGCCACACTGGGCTGCCTCAGGCCAGGTTACTCACAGATAGCCTACCCTGACCCTCCGTTTTCCAGACTGTAAAGCAGGTTGGCTCCACCACCATCTCCTTCACCCTCATGGTCTCGGCTCCCGCAGACCATTGGCCCACCCCCGCTTCCTGTTCAAGCACTCTGCACATGGGTCTGGGATCGGGGACTGGGCACCTCCAGGACTCTGTCTTGAAGGCAGAGGCTGGCTGCGCCAGCAGGGCTGTGGAACAGTAGCTGGTAGTCCAGGGTGGAGCCAGGAGAGTCCGGGTCAGTGCAAGTGAAGGTATTCAGCACGGTGCCCACAGGCGTGGTCTCGGGGATTTGAGTCCTGGGAGCAGAGGGCAGGGCGGCAGGGCGGGAGCTGGGGCTGGGCGGCGAACCATGGCTCTACCCAATAGCCAAGGTAAGGCTCCCATATACTCACGCCAGCAGCGCTGGTGTGCAGCGCGGGGGCCAGCGGTTGACCGACTGCACGTCCACCTCGAAATCAAGCTCGGCGCTGGCCCACGGCCGGAGACGCTCAAAGGCCTTCACCCGCAGCCTAGTGACCGCGGCGTCTGGGGCTTGCGCCAGCTCCAGGGGCGACGTTGTCCGGACCACTCCGTCGACTGGGCGGGTTGGGAGGGCGGGGGACGCAGAGTTCGGCCCCGCCCCCAGCTCAGTCCAGTTCCCACCCTCCCACGGATCCGCTGGCGGGGGAGGGCGCAGAGACTGACCACTTGGCCGCCTCCTCCAAGGCTCGCTTCTAACTTCGGGCCCCCAAACGCGACCTCGCCCCAGTTTCTGCCTCGGCACCAGCCTCGTTTACTCAAGAGAGCGATGAGGTAGTGCGGGTCGCTTCTAGACCAGCCGCAGAGGCATCCCCTTACCCGCCCTCCGTGCCCCTCACCGCGTCCGATGGAGAAGAGCCGGCAGGGCACTGGGGAGAGGATCTCGTAGCGCACACCGAAGCCCCGGGCCTGGACCTGAACCACCTTACTTCCGGGGACCAGGTTCTCCGGGATGGTGATATTCTGGGCTTGCTGCCTGGACCAAAATGGGGGCACTGGCTCCTACTTTCTCCCGCCACCCCGGCGGGGTCTGCGGACCCCTCCCCTGGGTCTTCCCTGGTATAGGAGCCAGCTGGGGATGCTCAAGCAGCCCCACACCTTAACCCTACTCCTAATTCCCTGGGGCTAGGTCCTGCCTTCCCCACTGTTCCCAGGGTAGGGGAACCTTACAGGAAGGAGACCTGGCTGGAGGGAGCAGGCAAAACTTTCACTGTCAGCATCCCACAGCAGCTTCGGCCTTGTCCAAAGTTCACCAGGATCTGAAGCTGGAAGACCTGCGGTGCACACAAAACAAGAAGGGAACCACGGTGTGTGTCTACCTGTATATCTGTGCCCAGTCGTCCCTTCAAATAGGGAGCGCCACCTCAGGACCTCCGCAAGGAACCCCGACACTCACTCCTCCCTATGACCTGTCACTCTGCTGACAGATATTCCTTTGTGTCTCACTCTTCTGGGTCATAAGTCCTTCTCTTAGGATGCATACAGCCCCCAAAAGAGTAATATATGAATCATTCACAATGTGAATTATCATCTTAGAGTTGCTAAGAGTCAGTCAATAAGACATGGAAGTTTTAAAGAAGGAACTTCTCTAACCTCCTCCAGACTACACTAGGCACTGTACCCAGAGCTTTCACTTCCTGTGTGACTGCTCAGAACTTTCTCCTTTCTATAAGGGGCACCATGGGCTCCTGGAGCCAGGGATCCCTCTTCTTTCTAGAACTCCAGAGCCCAGCACAGAACCAGGCCAAGGTGGGAGTACAGCCAGCATGGGGCAGCAGGTACAGGTATGGGCTATGTCTGGAAAAGGCAGCATGATTGAGGAGGTCAGGAACAAACAAACTTCCAGGAGGTAGTGGCTCTGCCCATTTTATGCCCAATTCATGGATATCTCCAGGTCCCAAGTCATGCTCACCTTTTGAGCCTGGCCTTTGAGGCCCTGGGATGGCGCCTGCAGCCAACCCTGCCCATTGATAGAGAAAGGTCCAGGGAAGTATGGCGGATCCTGGGCACTGGTGATGCTCATCTGACAGGACAGAGATGCTGGAGGCCCCTTCCCCAACCCTCAGTGCCCCAAGCATCCCTGTCAAAGTCCCCCAACAACCCAGCAGGTAGCTGCCCACTCTCAACTCTCCCATACCCTGCCACTGCCACTCTAGCCTGGGCTCCCCCGGGCCCTGATCCTCAATCCTCTCTGCTTTTAAACTAATTATTTTGTTTTTAATCTAGATTTCTTTTGGAAATCTGATACAGAAATTTCATGATACAGAAATTTCATGAAGAATTCAGAAGAATTTAAAGAAGAACTCAGCCCCTGAGATGTCCTTATGGGAACAGCCATAGTCATTGGGGGTGGGCAGCCCTCAGTGGCTCTCTCCAAAAACATGCATCATTGCTGAGGCTCAGCTGTAGACTAAAGAATCCTTCTGCAGGCTATGCTTGGCCAGGCAGGGGCTGGGCTTGGTCTCCGCATCTCCCCACGACCCTCCATCCTACCCCCCACTACCACCACTGCCCATGTGCAGGGCTCACCTGGGCTCCCTGGCCTGGGAGCAGCAGAGTGTACAGCCGGGCCCCAGGTTTGACAGTTTCTGGCACCTGAATGATTTCCCCAGCTGGCCAGAGGGGAGGTCATGGGGGGTTCTGTTCAGGTCATGCCTGCCCACACCCCCTGCCTGCTGTCCCTGGCCTCACCTGGGCTGGCAAATCGACCAGCACACTGGATATGGCCAGGGTCCCGCTGCACATCCACAGACAGTGGCCCCTCCATCACATGGTTGCCACATGTGAACCGCAGCTGCAGTTCATAGTGGTTCACTGTCAGGGCATCCAGCCGGGCCGAGCTGCTCAAGGTCATCTGTGGCAGGAGGCAGTGCCCTGTGGGGCCTAGGATCTCCATCCCCCTATGCCACCTCTGGCTTTGTGAATTTAGGGTCTGTCCTTGTTCCCCCATGGTCCCCAGTTGTGCCCATGACCCTACCTTGCCCACATAGATCCCCTGCCATCTAGTTAGGCTAGGTGGGTTGAAGAAGGTGGTGGGTGGCTGCACATGGAGCAACTCCAGGGTGGGTGTGTGTGAAGAGCAGTTGAAGGAGAAAGACTGAAGGATGGTGCCAGGTCCCTGGCTCTCAGAGACATTTATGAACCAGGGCAGGGAGTGGAGGTCTGTGAGGAAGAGATGATTCAGGCTGGAGGCCCCCATTCTCATGGAACCATATACACAATCAGAGTCCCTCCTTTCTGCCTTAGGGCCTGGCCACATCCTGGAAACAAGCAGCCAAAGTCCTTCCTTGTCCCCCACATCCAACCATGGGTCAGCTCATTTCACAGACTGGGAGTGAGAACTTGGTCGAGGAAGCAGCCAAGAGAAGGAATGAGGGTCAGGGATACAGATCTTTGCCATTTCCTGGCTCCCCCCACCCCCTGTCCTCCATGGTAGCTTATCTGAGAGGGATCAAGACTCCACTGTGGAGTCAGGGGGTGAGAACTGGAGTTCCCCCACCCACCAGCTCCTCACCAGAGACAACCAGAGCAAGAAGAAGCACCAGGGGCCTGAGCAGCACCATAGTGGCCTGAAGATACAGACAGCAGAGGAGACTATAGAAAGCCAGAAGTGTTTGTCAGGCCCAGCCCGTTGCCAGGTCAGTTGCTCAAACAAAGCTGGGCCTCCAAGATTCTAGCCCTGCCCATCCCTAGTGACTGAGCTCTAGACTCTACAGCCATCAAGAGGCCTGGAAAACTCCATTTTTTTTCACTGCTCCCAATGAATTCCCCTATTTATTACTAGAATTCAAAGGAGATGTGAGGGGAGAAGGATCAAGCTTCAGATAGGGAAACTGAGGCTCAAGGAAGTCTTGGTCATGCAGTCCTTGGAGACAGAGCAAGCACAGAACCCAGGAAAACTGGGCCCAGGACCTGCTACCCCACAGAGTCTGAACTCCAGCTGCCCACTCCCATTAGAACATTATCTGCCTAGGGACTTCCCTGGTCGTGCAGCAGTTAAGAATCCACCTGACAATGCAGGAGACACAGGTTCGATCCCTGGTCTGGGAAGATCCCACATGCCACGGAACAACTAAGCCCGTGCACCACAACTACTGAGCCTATGCTCTAGAGCCCATGAGCCACACCTACTGAGCCTGCGTGCCACAACTACTGAAGCCCGTGCGCCTAGAGCCCATGCTCCACAACAAGAGAAGCCACTGCAAAGCCTGTGCACTGCAACAAAGAGTAGCCCCCGCTCACCGCAGCAATGAAGACCCAACACAGCCAAACAAAAAAAAGAAAAAAAAAGAAAGAACATTATCTGCCTATAAAACCTGAGCCCAACCATCAACAAAATCTCTCAAAACCTGTGTACATTAAACAAACAAAAGGTATCCTTGGTGACAGAAATAAAAATGGTGGTTACTTTTGGGGGTATCAATTGGAGGGGGCAAAAAGTGGCTTCCTGGAGTGGCTGGTGATATTCGATATCTTGATCTGGGTGACAGTTGCACAGGTGTCTACAGATTTTAACATTTATAGTGCTGTACCTTTGAGAGTTGTCTGTTCATTTTATTTACATTATATGTCAATGTTTAAAAGGTTGTCTACACATGCCCTCTCCAGTTCTTCACCTCTCACTCTCTTTTCTACCCACTATAGTTGAGCTTGTCCCTCTCTCCATAAAAATGCCCTTGTTGGGGTCCTCAGAGACCTTCAAACTGCAGTTTATTCTCTACTCTTACCGCCTCGGCAGCATTTGATGCTTGCTCCCCTTGGCTACTAAGTGCCCACACTCTCTCAGCTTCCTCCCACCTCTCTGGCTGCTCCTGCTCAGTTCCTTTGCTGGTTCTGCTTCATCGTCCCTACCTCCACCCAGTGGAGTGTTCCAGGGCTCAGTCCTGACTGCTGCCATCCTCTGTCCACCTTCCGCCTCACATCCAGGCACATGGCCTTAAACACCATCCACTCAGATTGGTTCAAGATGGTGGAGTTGAAGGACGTGCACTCACTCCCTCTTGTGAGAGCATCAGAATCACAATTAGCTGCTGAACAGTCATCAACAGGAAGACACTGGAACTCACCAAAAAAGATACCCCACATCCAAAGACAAAGGAGAAGCCACAGTGAGATGGTACGAGGGGCGCAATCACAGTAAAATCAAATCCCATAACTTCGGGGTGGGTGACTCACAAATGGGAGAACACTTATACCACAGGAGTCCGCCCACTGGAGTGAAGGTTCTGAGCCCCACGTCCGGCTTCCCGACCTGGGGGTCTGGCAACAGGAGGAGGAATTCCTAGAGAATCAGACTTTGAAGGCTAGAGGGATTTGATTGCAGGACTTCGGCAGGACTGGGGGAAACAGAGACTCCACTCTTGGAGGGCACACACAAAGTAGTATGAGCATTGGGACTCAGGGGAAGGAGCAGTGACCCCATAGGAGACTGAACCAGACCTACCTGCTAGTGTTGGAGGGTCTCCTGCAGAGGCAGGGGGTGGCTGTGGCTCATCATGGGGACAAGGACACTGGCAGAAGAAGTTCTGGGAAGTACTCCTTGGTATAAGCCCTCCCAGAGCCCGACATTAGCCCCACCAAAGAGCCAGGTAGGCTCCAGTGCTGGGTCACCTCAGACCAAACAACCAATAGGGAGGGAACCCAGCCCCATCTATCAGCAGACAAGCAGATTAAAGTTTCACTGAGCTCTACTCAGCAGAGCAACACCCAGCTCTACCCACCACTAGTCCCTCCCATCAGGAAGCTTGCACAAGCCTCTTAGATAGCCTCATCCACCAGAGGGCAGACAGCAGAAGCAAGAAGAGCTACAATTCTGTAGCCTGTGGAAGGAAAACCACATTCACAGAAAAATAGACAAAATGAAAAGGCAGAGGACTTTGTACCAGATGAAGGAACAAGATAAAACCCCAGAAAAACAACTAAATGAAGTGGAGATAGGCAACCTTCCAGAAAAAGAATTCAGAATAATGATAGTGAAGATGATCCAGGACCTCGGAAAAAGAATGGAGGCAAAGATGGAGAAAATGCAAGAAATGTTTAACAAAGACCTAGAAGAATTAAAGAACAAACACCTAGAAGAATTAAAGACCAAAAACAAACAGAGATGAACAATACAATAACTGAAATGAAAAATACACTAAAAGGAATCAATAGCAGAATAACTGAGGCAGAAGAACGGATAAGTGACCTGGAAGACAGAATGGTGGAATTCACTGCTGTGGAACAGAATAAAGAAAAAAGAATGAGAAGAAATGAAGACAGCCTAAGAGACCTCTGCGACAACATTAAATGCAACAACATTCGCCTTATAGGGGTCCCAGAAGGAGAAGAGACAGAGAAAGGGCCAGAGAAAATATTTGAAGAGATTACAGCCGAAAACTTCCCTAACGTGGGAAAGGAAATAGCAACCCACGTCCAGGAAGCTCAGAGAGTCCCAGGCAGGATAAACCCAAGGAGAAACATGCCGAGACACATAGTAATCAAATTGACAAAAATTAAAGACAAAGAAAAATTATTGAAAGCAGCAAGGAGAAAACGACAATAACATACAAGGGAACTCCCATAAGGTTAACAGCTGATTTCTCAGCAGAAACTCTACAAGCCAGAAGGGAGTGGCATGATATACTTAAAGTGATGAAAGGGAAGAACCTACAACCAAGAGCACTCTGCCCGGCAAGGATCTCATTCAGATTCGATGGAGAAATCAAAAGCTTTACAGACAAGCAAAAACTAAGAGAATTCAGCACCACCAAACCAGCTCTACAATAAATGCTAAAGGAACTTCTCTTAGTGGGAAACACAAGAGAAGAAAAGGGCCTACAAAAACAAACTCAAAACAACTAAGAAAATGGTAATAGGAGCATACATATCGATAATTACCTTAAACGTGAATGGATTAAATGCTCCAACCAAAAGACACAGGCTTCCTGAATGGATACAAAAACAAGACCCATATATATGCTGTCTGCAAGAGACCCACTTCAGACCTAGGGACAGATAGAGACTGCAAGTGAGGGGATGGAAAAAGATATTCCATGCAAATGGAAATCAAAAGAGAGCTGGAGTAGCAGTACTCATATCCGATAAAATAGATTTTAAAATAAAGAATGTTTCAGGCTTTATAATTTCGGTGAAATTATAAAGATCAGAGCAGAAATAAATGAAATAGGAACAAAGAAAACAATAGCAAAGATCAATAAAACTAAAAGCTGGTTGTTTGAGAAGATAAACAAAATTGATAAACCTTTAGCCAGACTCATCAAGAAAAAGAGGGAGAGGACTCAAATCAATAAAATTAAAAATGAAAAAGGAGGGGCTTCCCTGGTGGCACAGTGGTTGAGAGTCCGCCTGCTGATGCAGGGGACACGGGTTCGTGACCCGGTCTGGGAAGATCTCACATGCCGCGGAGCGGCTGGGCCCGTGAGCCATGGCCGCTGAGCCTGCGCATCTGGAGCCTGTGCTCCACAACAGGAGAGGCCGCAACTGTGAGAGGCCCACGTACCACAAAAAAAAAAAAAAAAAAAAAAAAAAGCAAAAATGAAAAAGGAGAAGTTACAACGGAAACTACAGAAATACAAAGCATCCTAAGAGACTACTACAAGCAACTCTATGCCAATAAAATGGACAACCTGGAAGAAATGGACAAATTCTTAGAAAGGTATAACCTTCCAAGACTGAACCAAGAAGAAATAGAAAATATGAACAGACAAATCACAAGTAATGAAATTGAAACTGTGATTAAAAATCTTCCAACAAACAAAAGTCCAGGACCAGATGGCTTCACAGGTGAATTCTATCAAACATTTAAAGAGCCAACACCCATCCTTCTCAAACTCTTCCAAAAAATTGCAGAGGAAGGAACACTCCCAAACTCATTCTACAAGGCCACCATTACCCTGATACCAAAACCAGACAAAGATACTACAAAAAAAGAAAATTATAGACCAATATCACTGATGAATATAGATGCAAAAATCCTCAACAAAATACTAGCAAACAGAATCCAACAACACATTAAAAGGATCATACACTATGATCAAGTGGGATTTATCCCAGGGATGCAAGCATTCTTCAATATATGCAAATCAATCAATGTGATACACCATATTAACAAATTGAAGAAGAAAAACCATATGATCATCTCAATAGATGCAGAAAAACCTTTTGACAAAATTCAACACCCATTTATGATAAAAACTCTCCAGAAGGTGGGCATAGAGGGAACGTACCTCAACATAATAAAGGCCATATACGACAGACCCACAGCAAACATCATTCTCAATGGTGAAAAACTGAAAGCATTTCCTCTAAGATCAGGAACAAGACAAGGATGTCCACTCACACCACTATTATTCAACATAGTTTTGGAAGTCCTAGCCATGGCAATCAGAGAAGAAAAAGAAACAAAAGGAATACAAATTGGAAAAGAAGAAGTAAAACTGTCACTGTTTGCAGATGACATGATACTATACATAGAGAATCCTAAAGATGACACCAGAAAACTGATCGGTGAATCAGCTGATCAATGAATTTGGTAAAGTTGCAGGATACAAAATTAATGCACAGAGATCTCTTGCATTCCTATACACTAACAATGAAAGATCAGAAAGAGAAATTAAGGAAACAATCCCATTCACCACTGCAACAAAAAGAATAAAATACCTAGGAATAAACCTACCTAAGGAGGTAAAATCCTGTACTCAGAAAACTATAAGACACTGATGAAAGAAATCAAAGATGACACAAACAGATGGGGAGATATACCATGTTCTTGGATTGGAAGAATCAATGTTGTGAAAATGACTATACTACCCAAAGCAATCTACAGATTCAATGCAATCCCTATCAAATTACCAGTGGCATTTTTTACAGAACTAGAACCAAAAAATCTTAAAATTTGTATGAGACACAAAAGACCCCGAATAGCCAAAGCAGTCTTGAGGGAAAAAAACGGAGCTGGAGGAATCAGACTCCCTGACTTCAGACTATACTACAAAGCTACAGTAATCAAGACAATATGGTACTGGCACAAAAACAGAAGTATAGATCAATGGAACAGGATAGAAAGCCCAGAAATAAACCCACGCACCTATGGTCAACTAATCTATCACAAAGGAGGCAAGGATATACAATGGAGAAAAGACAATCACTTTAATAAGTGATGCTGGGAAAACTGGACAGGTACATGTAAAAGAATGAAATTAGAACACTCCCTAACACCATACACAAAAATAAACTCAAAATGGATTAGAGACATAAATGTAAGACTGGACACTATAAAACTCTCAGAGGAAAACATAGGAAGAACACTCTTTGACATAAATCACAGCAAGATCTTTTTTCATCCACCTCCTAGAGTAATGGAAATCCAAACAAAAATAAACAAATGGGACCTAATGAAACTTCAAAGCTTTTGGAAAGCAAAGGAAACTACAAACAAGACGAAAAGACAACCCTCAGAATGGGAGAAAATACTTGCAAACGAATCAATGGACAAAGGATTAATCTCCAAAATGTATAAACAGCTCATGCAGCTCAATATTAAAAAAACAAACAACCCAATCCAAAAAATGGGCAGAAGATCTAAATAGACATTTCTCCAAAGAAGACATACAGATGGCCAAAAAGCACATAAAAAGCTGCTCAACATCACTAATTATTAGAGAAATGCAAATCAAAACTACAATGAGGTATCAGCTCACACCAGTTAGAATGGGCATCAACAGAAAAATCTACGAACAACAAATGCTGGAGAGGGTGTGGAGAAAAGGGAACCCTCTTGCACTGTTGGTGGGAATGTAAATTGATTCAGCCACTATGGACAACAGTATGAAGGTTCCTTAAAAAACTAAAAATAGAATTACCGTATGACCCAGCAATCCCACTACTGGGCATATACCCAGAGAAAACCATAATTCAAAAAGACACATGCACCCCAATGTTCATTGCAGCACCATTTACAATAGCCAGGTCATGGAAGCAACCTAAATGCCCATCGACAGATGAATGGATAAAGATGACGTGGTACATACATACAATGGAATACTACTCAGCCATAAAAAGAAATGAATTTGGGTCATTTGTAGAGACATGGATGGATCTAGAGACTCTCATACGGAGTGAAGTAAGTCAGAAAGAGAAAAACAAATATCGCATATTAACACATATATGGGGAACCTAGAAAAATGGTACAGATGAACCAGTTTGCGGGGCAGAAATGGAGACACAGAGGTAGAGAACAAACATATGGACACCAAGGGGGGAAAGTGGTGGGGTGGGGGTGGGGGGATGGGATGAATTGGGAAATTGGGATTGATACATATACACTAATATGTATAAAGTAGATAACTAATAAGAACCTGCTGTATAAAAAAATAAATAAAATTCAAAAAATATATAAGTGAAAATAAAAATAAAAGCATTGCTTAATTAATGACTTCTCTTTTGGGAAAAAAAAAAAAAATACCATCCACTCACTTTGCCTCCCAGATCCAAAGCTTCAGTCCTGATCTCTCTCCCAGGCAGCAGAGTCACACACCCAGTGGCTGACCCCGCATCTCCTCTTAGATGCCTAACAGGCATCTTAAGGGTCACATGTCCACAAATGATCATTTGATTTTCGTCTCCAAGCCCACTCTTCTCCAGTCTTGCTTGGATTGATTCATGGCCATTCCATCCAATCAGTTGTTCAGGCCAGAAATCTAGGAGTCATGCTTCATGCTTCTCTTTCTCTTCCAATACTCATGCATCAGCAAGGCTTGATTTTTAATTCCAAAACATTCCCCCAAGGGACCCCTTTCTTTGCAGCCCAGGTGATGCTCAAAAGCCCCCATTGCTCCCCATCACACCAAGAACAAAACCCCTTATTCCTTTCTAAGACTGCTAGGAGCCTGGTTTTGCTGACCTCTTCACTCCCCCAACTACCACCATCAGAGATATCTAAGTCTTCTTTATGTTATGTCCTGTCTAGCTCCTGTCCTCTCAGGGCCTGTAACTGGCTGATCCCACCACCTAGAATGCCCCTCTTCTTGATCTCCCCTTGATGGCTCATCCAGATCCCATACAAAATGCCACCTCCTCTGAGAGTCCCCTCTCCCAACCTGGCCCGTTGCCCTCATTCCCTGGTATTTTTCTGTCTACAGACTTGTCTAGTTTGTCTCCAGTTAGTCTGTGTCCTTGAACCTAGCCTCCGACTATGGAGCGGGCTCAGGGAAGGTGGGTCAGAGAGCCCCGCCGTAGCCCCTTGTACTCAGCCCGCATGTGGTCTGGGGCAGAGGGGATGGGAGTGTCGCCGCGGGAATCGCAGCTAACCGGGCGCTGCCCACTAGAGGGCAGCCCTGCTTAGCTAGGCCGAGATGAGGGGCAGATAGGGCGGGGTCTGGGCCTTGGCCGAGGCTCCTCCCCGGTGCTGCAAAGAGGTTCGGCGTTCCCGGAGTCCTCTGAGGGGCCGGACCCCTCCCATGACTTCCAGGGACTGTCAAGGCCGGCTACAGGAGCGGATTCAGTGGGTCGAACCGCGAGTGGGCCACATCAGTGCCGAATCCGACGATTGGGGGCGCTCTGCCCGCCCAAGGGCGCAGCCGGGGAACCCGCGCGGGAGGGACCACAACTCTATCCTGGGAAAAATGGGGAAGCTGAGGCTACCGCAAGGCAGCGACTTGTCCTGGGTCATGCAGCGAACCCGGAGTCAGCTCAACGGCCTGGGTAGTCAGGGGCCGGACGCGGCCCAGCTTCCAGCTATAGTCCCGCCCCTCCCCCCAGAGCTGCTGTGGAGTTGGTAGTGGGTGTCCGGCTCACCCACCCGGCAGAGTCCGGGGGGCGGGGCCACATCAGCCCCGCCCCAGCCCCATTGGCTGCGGCGCTAGGGGCGGGGCCGGGGCTGCCAGATGTTGGGGCGGCAGCGACGGCGGGAGCTAGGGAGAGGGAGGAGCCGCGGAGCCAGGCGGAGGGTAAGGGCGCCGCTGGACGGCCCGCGGGGCCCTCTCCGCATCCCTCTGGCTGGAGTTCGAAGAGGAACTGGCAGGCCTGGCGGGGGCTCCGGAACGGGCATGCACAGTGCTCGGCTTGACAGTTTCCTGGGCCAGCTCCGCTGGGAACTGGTGAGGCTTGGGAGCGGGTGTGGCTTGTGAGGACGTGTGTGGGGTGCTCGGCTGCCTTCCTGCCCGAACGGCACTCGGGTGGGGGGCTCTCCCGAGTGCCCATCCAAGACAGGATGGGGGCGGGGCGACGCAGATGACCCAGATGGCCCGCGTCGGGTTTCGGACGGTTGGAAGCTGTGCTGGGCATCAAGTAACAGCCGCCCAGCTGGCCGTGCTGCCGGCGCGGCGGAGGAAGTTGGTGGGAGAAACTTCTTGTGGGGCGGAGCAGGGGGCTGTGAGGGACTAAAGAGGTGTGGCGCTGCTATGGATGCCCCCTATTCCAGGCTGGCCTGTACCTCTGTCCTCTATACCCCACCTGGCAGGTGCTCTATTCTTCTCTGAAAGACGCTGCGGGCTTTGGGGAGCTGAATCCCTCAAGAGTCACAGGATGCCCCCCCCAGCCCTGAGCAGGACTTATTTCCCAATGCAGGCCCGCAACCCTGCCTCCCGCCCTGGTGGCGGGTACCGACTTGCCCGGCGCTGCGTGCTGCAGCCTGCCGGACTGCCACCAGGTCGGCCGATGGGAGCCACACGAGCTTCGTGTGCCAGCGCCCCATGCCGGCCCTGTGCCCACTAGAGGCTTTGCTGCCTAGGCCTGCAGGCCAATCCAGCCCTCCTGGGCCTTCTGTTTTGGAATTGGCCTGACCAGGCAGACAGGGGTGACAAGCACTGCTCCTTCGACTTCTGCCCTCTCTTCTTCCACAGCTGTGTGGCCGGGACACAGACTCACCCCCAATGCCTGGCCCCCTTCCAGAACCCCCCAAACCTGGCCCAGGCATGCGGCTCAAGCACCGGCTCAGGGCCTCAGATGCCTTGGAAGAGGACTCAGCCTGTGGTGTGGAGGAAGAGGAGGAAGAAGCTGTGGTGACAGGAGACAGGGGTGCAGCCTTGGGAGGCCCCAGGGAGCATGCCCTAGACTGGGACTCTGGCTTCTCAGAGGTGTCAGGCAGCACATGGAGAGAGGAAGAGCTGCCTGTACTCCAGCATCCAGCACCCTCAGCATGGCCCCCCCCGTAGACAGCGCCTCTCGGCCAGTGGCATCCCCCTGCCTGGCAGAGCTCCTGCGGCCAGTGTACCACCTGCCCACCGACCACGGCCCAAGTCCACCCCAGACGCCTGCCTGGAGCACTGGCAGGGGCTGGAAGCTGAGGACTGGACAGCAGCCCTACTTAGCAGAGGTCGTAGTCGCCAGCCCCTGGTGCTGGGAGACAACTGTTTTGCTGACTTGGTGCACAACTGGATGGAGCTGCCCGAGGCAGCAGGTGAGGGGGACAATGGGGGTGGGCCCCGTGCCCGTGCTCGGCCCCCCCAGTTCCTGCTTGGCCTCTCTGAGCAGCTGCGGCGCCAGCTGGCCAGGGCACGCCGGGCAGCAGTGGCAGGAAAGCGACTGTCATGCCCACCTCGCCCGGAACCCGAACTGCCTGCAGAGGTCTCACGCTTTGCAGCCCTCATGAGTTGCCGCAGTCGCCAGCCCATCATCTGCAATGATGTTGTCAGCTACCTCTGACCCTGCCCTCCAGCCTGGGACAATAAAGGCCTTTCTCTGCACTGTCCTGGTTCCATACCCCTGAGGCTCCAGGAGGCAGCCTCAGTCCTGCAAGGCACAACTCAGGCAGGCGAATCTAAAGAGCCTTTTCCCTCCCTGCAGGGGTCCCTGTCATGTCCATGTCACACCCCATGTGTCTGCCCCGTGTTCCATCATCTATCCTGTCCACTTACACCTTCCTTCAACAAGCATTTATTAAGCGCCTACTGTAGGCTTGGGATGCATGGCTCAACAGAACTGGGTGGTGGGGCTGCTGCCTTGTCACAGCTTGTAGTGCAAGGGTGGGAAGGTAACGTCCTCCTTCTCACCCTCATAGCTGAGCTCCAATACCAGCACCCGCTGCCCAGGCTTAGGCACCTGGCGTGTCACCTCCAGCACCAGATCCGTCACCCTGGTGGCATGGGGGGGAGAGGGGTGGGGAGATTGGGTAGGTGAGCAGTGGCAGGCAGAGAGTGTCCTGGCATGGACTATAGGGTGTTGGCGGGCCATAAGGAGCCCAAGCCAGGAGCAGGAGCAGCCCAAGACAGGAAACATCTGAAACTATTTTAAGAGCGGCTGGCGGGGTGGGCAGGAGGCAGGAAGCTGTGAGTCCTCTGGGAGTGGGCTGTGAAAGGGGAGCTGAGCAGGGCGTGAGCTGGTGGGGCTGGCCAAGCAGGCAGCTCCTAGAGGCCCCTCCTCAGGCTCTTGGCCCTCACCCCGCCCCCAGCCCATTTGCTGGCTCCATTTGGCAAAAGAAAACTTCAGGAAGGTGTGAGGGGCCCAAATGGGATTGGGAAGAGGAAAGGCTGCTTGTCCCCCACCTCCAACCTCCAGGGACAGAATGAGGTTAAAGCCAGGTGTGGGCTCACCTGCGGGACAGGTGCTGGTCCTGCTTTTCAGGAGACCATCCTGCCGAGTAGAGTAGGGCCTTCCCGTGCAGCAGCATCCTCACCCTCAGCCCATTTAGTTTCTAGAGAGAGACAGGTTAGGTGCCAGCTGGGCCAGGCTGGGCCAGGCCTGGGGGAAGGGCAGGAATGGGGCACACCTGGACATGGGCCAGCAGTGACTCCAGGGTCCTCTCGGGCTGCCCAGCAGGCACTTCCAGGCGGTCCCAACAGGTCCACTTCCAGTGATGGAACTGGGGGGCGGTAGTGGGGAGGAGTGAGAAGCTTCTTACACACACACCCTCCCCCTACCCCAGTTACCAATAGCTTATGGCCCCTTTCCTAGGGGAGGAGCTGGACTAGAGGCAGGAAGGAGAAGCCAGTGGGTGGGGGTGGAAGGTGGGATCTGGGCCCAGAATCTCAACACCCTCCCCGCCCATGCTGGGGCCAGCACAGGAAATGGGGCTACGGGGCCCCCACAGAGGGAAACAGGCGATCCATCACACAGTCGTGTGTGCGTGTGTGTGTGTGTGTGTGTGTGTGTTGTTGGGGGGAGCAATGCTTCCTGAGGAAGCGGGAGCAGGGCTGCTGCAGTCTCTGATAAAACTGCTTGTTCTTCAAATGCAAGGCTGGATGCTGGGGGTGGGGTAAATCCTGTCCCCTAATCCTTTACCACCAGGGCCTTGGACTACTCATGGACACATGGCAAGAGGCACAGTGACTCTAGCAGGAACACAGTCCACAGAGGACTCCTCTTCCTGTCCCTTTGTTCCTTCCTTATTTCTGGAGTCTTGGGGTTCTGGTACCCAGAGCTGAGGGCATAAGGGTAGCAGGCAGCCAGGCACCAAGACAGGAGGAGTTCTGCCAGCTCCCCAGAAAACACAGTGGGGTCAAGCTGAGACGAGGCCAGAGGTGAGATGGGGGACCCTTCCCCTCCCCCTCCTCCACGGACAAAGGCAGCTTGTGTTCTAGCTAGAGGAGGGGCCCCTCACAAAGGGGCTCTGTGTGCTGTGCCCTGAGGGACCCCAGGGCTGCTCAGCAAAAGCCCAGTGCTGGCCCATGACCTCTCCCCTCTCCCCTGGTGAGGGAATTCTCTCTGTACCCTCTCCTCTGCCCTAAGGAAATGCCAACTATTGCAGAGCCTGGGCACACAGCCAGGGGCATTCATAGCCCTACACTTGAAGGAACACACATGTACACAAGCCCACATGTGTACTCACATGCACACACACGCAAGCCCACATTGTGAAAGAGCCCTGCAGTCCCATCTGGCACACAGATGTGCAAGCATGCTCCCTCCATGCCCACACACCACAGGGCCAGGGATGCCCAGACCAGTGTGCACTCACACCTGTGACATGAATGCACACATCCCCACAGGGCTGCACACCCCACACCCGTGGTGGTGAGCTCAGTGCCCTTTAACTCAGGTCGAGGGGGCGGGCCAGGATCCCCATGCTTTGCAAGGCCGATATTAGGCTCTGTTTGGGGCTAGGGCCCTAGTCCCCTCTCCCCCTCAGGGGCACTTCTGGGAAGGAGGGAACTGCGGGGGATGTCTGGCTCCACTAATGAGTTAAAGCTGCAGCTCCCCCAGACCCTGACTGTTGGGGGGTGGGGGTGGTTGACGGCTGCTTCCTGTGTCTGACAGGTCCCAGCCTGGCTTTGCAGCAGGGAGGCGACTGGAGGGAGTCTTGATGACTCCCCCAGAGTCTGGGTCCTGATGAGAGCCTGAAGCTGAAGTAGGGCCTGTTTGGGTAGGTGCAGGGAAAACTCAGGTCTGGTATGGGTGGGGTGTCAAGGGCTCACCTTCTGGATGGCTGGGGCGTGAGGTACCCAGCGGCTAAAGTAGTTTTCAGCCAGGTTCAGGTAGCTGTGGCGAAAGGCACTGCGGGGCCGTGGGCTGCCCACCACCTTATACAGCTCCAGGCCCACCAGGCCAGCCACAGCTGCCGTAGTAGTGGCAATGGCTGGGGTAATCTGGCCCACAATTCGCTTGGTCTGCCAAGGACAGGAGATTTGGTCTGGGCCCAAGGCATAAGGCTAGGGTTTGACCCCCACCTCCAGGCCTGAGCCCCAAGGGGCAGGGTACCTTGGTGCGGTCGGCTGGTGGGATCCCATAATTCTGAGCTCGCAGGCTCGCCGCTGCCGCCACAAAATCCACATGGAAATCATTGTCCTGTGAGGCCCAAGGCACAGTAGTATTAGCATTGTCCCAGTGCCCCTCACCTCGGCCGACCCTGTGCCACTGCACAGCTCTTCACGCAATTCGGTGGGGTGGATGCTCATATCTCCCCACTTAACAGATAAGGAGGCTGAGGCTCGGGGAAGCTGAGCTGCTTCTGGGGTCCTTCTGGGAGGAAAACTCAGGCCAAGGGGCTTCAAAGCTACCTTCTTAGCTCTTGACCTTCCCCAACAACCTCTCTAGCCCGGCCCTTCACCCCCACTTGGGCTCCCACCTTCTCAAATGTCAAGGGTTCCAGGGGAGGGCCCACAGTCCAGATTTCCAGGGCTTCATGCAGTTGCTTCGACTGCTCAGGGCCTGTCAGGAGAAGGGGGTGTCGGGGCAGTCCTTAGTCCCCATGTCCTGCGCTCCTCTGGAGCCTGCTGCCTATCCTTGGTCCCTGCCAAGCCTATCACTTACCACTTTCAGGGAGACCCCTTGATGGATGGTGCAGTCTCCTGTCTAGCAGCCCCAGCCCTCACTTGTGTGTGTGTATGTGTGTGTGTGTGCGCCCATGCACACCTATGTGACTCTGTTCTCATCTGGGGGCCACAGCTAGTTGCTCCCACGGTTTGTGTTTTTTTGTTTGTTTTTTGTTTTTGTTTTCTTTGGCTGAGAGTCTGCCAAAGGAATGGGGGTGGGGTGGGGGTGGGGTAGGCAGCAGGGAGAGGACCTACTGAGGGGCCAGAGGATGAACCCAAGGCTACAGAGAAGCAAGGTCAGAGGGCCTGAGAGGTATTGAGTTGGCTTCAGGGCCCCCAGACCCTGTCTTCTTTCTGCAGCACAGGCTGAGGAGGGTCAGGCCTTTGGGTGACAGCACGGGGGGCCAGGGTCAGGGACCTCACCAAACTCAGCATAAGCCGAAGCCAGCTTCAGGTCACTAGAAAAAATGGGGGCTAAGTCCTGGGGGTCAGGCAATGGCAGCAACTTCAGCAGTCGCCTGAGCACAGTCTGGTCCCGTGAGCCAGGCAGCCCATGCATCTGGGCATACAGGTTGGCAGCCGCCAGCACGTAGAGGAGATGCGTGTCCTGCAATGAGACCAAGAGCATGGGTGGCTGCATGGGCTTGAGCGAGCTTGTGTGGGTGCATGGGGTGGGGGTCACCGCCCATTTGTGGATCTGTTTTGAGTGCCTGCTTCTGCCTCCCATTTGGACACCCACATGTGCACAAACATGGCTCTCTCCCTCTCAGCATCTGTGCATCTCTACAAAATATAGAGGTGCCCACCTCCGCTCTGAGGGGCCATATTCCCATCTCAGGGCCGCCAAGGGACTCCACTCACTTGGCTGGCGTCAAACTCCAAGGGCCGGGGACACTGTTTGGGACCCGACCAGAAACGAGTTCCATTCTCTAGCACCTAGGGAAATGGAGGCTGCTGGGCTCAGTCGGGCCACCCTGAGCCCTCAGCCTCCTGACCCCTAGCCACCCACTTTGTCGGGTGGGAAGCGGCTCAGCAGCTGTGTGATGCCATAATGGAAGCAGAGTTGCCACTGGCCAAGGGCCCAAAGCACGCAGTCTCGCCAGGTCTGTGGACGCTGTCTCAGGACACCCAGCACCACCTGCTGCACGGTCAGCACCTGTGACTCATCCAAGTGTGCCAGAGACGTGAGTGCCCTGCGGACAGAGGAGGAGGTCTGAGGCTAAGCCCTAAGCCTCTTGGTGTTAGGGAGCCTGGGCTCCCATTCACCCTTGTTGGCGGTCTTACTGTTGGTGGCAGTTGACGGTCTCGGCAGACAGATGGAAAAGTCCTTCAAACTCATCCCGGGCCCACTGTGAGGGGAGGGAGGAACCATGAGGTGCCGGTTGGCAAAGGGGTCTGCAGCTGAGGACTGAGCCAGGTGGGTAGGAGTCTCTGGGGTTCTTCTCACCTGCAAGGTGTGCTCGGTTGTGCTGGGGAAGTGCCGCACGGTGCAGACAGGGTAGGAGGCATCCTCAGAAGCTGCAGCGGAGGCGGGGGCTCTGTAGTCCTCAGTCACGTGTGGTATGAACACACAAGCACTGCCCAAGGTGCCCTTTGTGCCCGCCTCCAGTAGTGGCTTCAGATAGTGGGTGCAGCGAGCAGCCACATAGCGCCCTGGCGAAGGGGGCAGAGGGTCAGAAGTGGGGCTGGCACAGCCTCAGACAAAGGGTGAGTTCTAGGCTTGAGCACTCACGGGCCTGGAAACTGTCCAGGGCAGCAGCCACGCCATCCACACTGGAGAAGAAGTTGTCCCCATAGATGTGCTCTGTAGTAAGATCCAGCTGGTAGGTGAGCGGGGTCACCTGCAAGTCTGAGTTCAGGCGGCGAGCGGCCTCTGCAGCCACCTCCGCCTTTGGCCTCTGAGAAGAAAGCAGGAAGACGTTGGGTGGGGGAAGGGGCGCATTGTGGGAGGACAGTCCAGGACACGGGTGTGGGGCTAGGTCAGCACTCACACCAAAGTCCTGAGGCCTGAAGAGAAACTGCCGGCTGAGGTTGGAGCGCTCCACATGGTCCATGTCAGCAACAGTCACGCCCCCACTGCCGCCAGCACCCAGGCCCACTAGGGCAAAGCCTTTGAGCAGCTCACAGCCGATAGCGCCAGCACCCACCTGCCAGCAGGAGCAACCTTAGCCAGAGGGCCAGGACTTGCCCTTCCACATACTCCCAACCTCACGACATAGCTCACCAGGAGGTAGCGCTGGTGGCTCAGCTTCTCCTGAAAACCAGCCCCAAACACTGCAATTTGCCCGTCATAGCGGCAGTCTCTCTAGGGGACACAGACAGGGGTCAGTGATGGCCACTGGCCTGTGCTGCATCTCCCTCCTGCACCCAGTTTTCCAGGTCAGGATCTCGGGACCGTGCTTCCTCTTTCCCCCCAGTCCTGAGTTTGGATAAGGCTTGCACCCCTACCCCAGGTTCTCACCGGTGCATAGTCCTCAGGATTGGGAAAGGGCTCCTCATCTTCTGGAAGGCAATCAAGGGCATCAAAGTACAGCCACTGGTCCAGGGGCATAAACTTCTTGGAGACTGCCTAGAAGTCAGCACTTCAGTCTGGGGACTCTTCCCACCTCCTAATCCCCTCAGATCCTGGCTGAGGGCTGCACCCAGGTTGGTGAAACCCCCAGGGTCACTATCTGGTGTTGGGCACCCTGTGGCACCCACACCGACCTCTGCACCCTTCCCAGCCCCGCCCTGCCTCTACCTGTACCCACCTTCAGCACTTCCTGAGCAGCCACTGCACCCAGCACAGCTGCCATGGGGCTCAAGCCACCAGCACTGCTCAGGGCAACTCTCCGCACCAGAGCCTTATCCAGCTGCTCTTCCAAAGGCTCTCCTTCTGTCCCCTTCAGTGATTCCAGGGCCTGGGCTAGGTCCACCACCATCTCTGCATCAACCTATCGGGTAGAACTCCGTCGGTAAAGCAGCCCCAGCTTGAGCTCCACTCCCCATTTGAAACCTTCAGGCAGCCATCCACCCTGTTCCACAGAAGAGGAAGCAGAAGCCTGAGTGGGAGGGTCCCACTAGTGGATGCCCGGTGCCAGAGAATGGCCCTGGAGGCTTCCCCAACCTGGAGGCACCTTCCAGGCCAGATCTTAGGGGTTAGGAGTAGCATGGGTCCCCAGGCTTTGTGCTTGGCCCTTTCATGGACCCAGCCTCTGGTCTACAGATACTGTGTACCATCTCCTTTATATGAGCGGGGAACTGCTTCTGGATTCAGTCTTGGATCTGTAAGACAGTCATTGTTGCCTCCTGGTAGGTGAGGCCCCGTTAAGACAGAGGCTGGAGGGAGGGGCATCGGGGCCACTCACAGGATCCCAGGGCTTAGGAGGGCGGCCATGGAGCTGCTGAAACTTGTGCAGTGCATGGAAGGCCTGATGCAGGCAGTGGGCACGGTGAACTTCCTGGGGACTCTGGGCCACAACACGGGGCTGAAACAGGGCTGTGTCCAGGGGCTCCTGCAGAGGGCACTCGGTTCACATTCATGTCCAGAACACTGTGGGTCCCTCGAGGTGCCCAAGCTCCCCAACCTCAGATGCACTTGAACTCACGTGGCTCACAGTCTTGGGTCTCTTGACCTCAGTGACAGCCCCACCACGCAAGTAATGAGAGAAAGTTGTTGTGTCCCCAATCTCCAAGGTCCCATCTCCTGGGGGAGATTGAGCCTGGTCAGTATGCCCTCTGAACCTGAGTAGTTCCCCACACCCCATCCTGTCTTGCATCTACATTCTTGATGTTGCTCCACCCTGAGGAAGGGGGAGGGAGAACTTATCTCCAAGGACCAGGCTGTGTCCACCCCCAGTGGGGACCTGGGCACTGAGCCTGGAGTTGGAGTGGGGTTGACTTAACTCTGCACGTGGAGAGGCCGAGGAGCACAGCCGTTGAGCTCCACCATGCCCTCAATGCCTGAGAAAGTCACCAAATCCCCATTGTTGAAGCGGTGGGCATCAGCCTCTTCTCTCAGAGTGAGAATGCCAGGGGAGCCCTGGATAAGAGGTGGCTTGCTCAGGGCTGCCTGTCCCTGCTTTCCACAGGCTCTGGCAGCCCCTCCTTAGTAGGTGAGCACCCCCCACATTAGCACCCACCTGGGAGATGTGCTGGATGGCAGCCACCAAGGGTTCTGCCTCTGTAGGGTCCTGCACAGTGAAGTCCTCACCAAAGTCACAGAACAACTGCCTGTGGTGGGGTGGGAGGGGTCACTGAGATGGCTCAGTTGTTAACTGCCACATTTGTGGTGAAGGGTGACGTACACTAGGGCAAGCCCAGAGGAATCGGGAAAAGAATGCTGGGAGAGGCTTGAAGGATTTACTGGATCAAGTCTGGAGGCTGGGGTAGAGGAAGCACACAAATGGGACTGGGGACTGTATAATCAAGAGGGGATGCCGGGACAGGCCTGAGGTTGGGTGGAGGGGATCTGGAGCAAGCCTGGAGCTGGGGACAGCACTGGGACCAGTTGCTGCCTGTGATGTGGCAGGCTAGGTAAGCCATCTCACCCCACGAGGCCTCGGGTGTCAGCCACCAAAAAGCAGACTCCGTGTTTATGGCAGATGGTGCCCACCTTCAGCTGCTCCTGTAGCTCCGAGGCAGTCAGCACCACCACCTGGGTGGACCTCATGATCAGCAGGGCCAGAACCACTTCAAGCCCACCCTGCTGCTAAAGGCTGGAGGGGGACACTGGGCTGGCCTGGAGAGTAGGGCTGGGAGGGCACCTGGAAGTCCAGCAGCAGGTCCTCGGTGATGTCACCTGTGTGGATGCACACCTGAACAGCTCCATTGAGCTTAGCCAGAAGTTCTTGAGATGCCTCAGCCCTGCTCCTTCCCAAGTCCTGCTCTGAGAGGAAGAACTAAAGAGAGACCCAGTCTGGCTTTAGCAAGGAGTTTTCTCTTGGGCCCTCTCCCCAAGGGCTATGGTCTGGAAACCCATAGCCCCCCAGGACCCTCACCTGGGCAGACAGGTCAGACCAACAGGTAGGGTGGGGATCATGAAGAGTGAGGCTGCCCACGCCCATCAGGACCAGGTTTTTGGCCACCTCAGCCCCCACGCCCTGCAGGCCTGACAGTAGCACCTTGGCTCTCTGAATCCTCTGCATGGCTGGCAAGCCCAGCACATACCTGTGGGTGGGAAGTAAGAGGGCAGGCGATTGGAGATCAGAAGTCAGAAGGCCACCCCGCTCTCCTCCCCACCTCGGGCCTCACAGCTGCCGCGAGTATAGCTCTTCATCCAGCAACTTGGAGGTCTCCAAGACATCCATCCTGAGGCCTGGGGCCGGAAAACAGGCTGCAGCGCTTACAGATAGGGTCTCTGCGTGGCAGGTAGTGCCAGCAGGAGCCAGTGCAAACAGGCACTAAGGCTAAGGAGTGAAGGACACTGCTAGTCACAGCTTTCTTCCTGGTTCCTCTGTCATTTCTGGGGGAAAGCAAAAGTGAAAGTGAAACTAGACTGAGCAGGCTCCTGGTCCTGCCTCCAGCCTGTCCAGCACAGCCTAGCCAGGCAAGGAAGAGTTCTGGCAGCTCTAGGGCACTGGTAAGGTAAGACAGAATTCCTGGATCTGTTCCCCCTCTGGGAGAGCAGGTATTTCTCTTGAGGGAGGGGGCAGGGCCATAGGAGGGATCCATGCGGTCTCCTGTAGCTCCCTAGATGTCCTGAACCTCAGGCCCCTATCCCCCTCAGGGGCCCCTGCCTGGATGGGCTTCCTGCCCACAGAGTACCGGTGGGAACTCCCTTGTCCTGAGCACTCACCTGGTCTCCTAACCACACACAGAGACTTAGAGACCCTAGAGGGCAGAGCCAGTCCCATCCCAGAGGCTGTGAGAGCTTATGGATTATGTTGTCCCACATCCAGGGTTTAAACTACAGACTTGGGGTGGAGCCTAACATCTTTGAGAGCACCTGTGTGCCCCTGCGCCATCTCCTCAGGGATCAGGGATTCCCCTCTGCCCACAGCTGCCTGGTCAGGACAGTCGGCAGCTCTAGGTGGCCTGTCAGGATCTCTCACTGATGAGTGCCAGGACTCAAAGAGGGTTCTCAGTCTCTGAGTGCCAGCCCTGAGAGTGGGAGGCATGGGGCAGCCATGATCACGTGTCCTTATTTGTCATTTAAACTTTTATTTTGAAATAATTATAGACTCAGAGGAAGCTGCAAAAATAGAAAGGAGAGATCCTGTGTACCCTTCACCCACAGATGTCCCCTTCTGCCTTCTTAGGAACTTGGGGCCAGTTCTTTAGAGGATGGACCACAGCTCCCCACAAAAGTCCACAATAGCTAAACCAGGTGCTATCATAAATTCTTTTTTTAAAATTGAGGTAAAATCCATACAACATTAAAATAACCATTTTAAAGTATACAATGTAGTGGCATTTAGTGTATTGACTATGTTGTGCAACCACAATCTCTCTCTAGTTTCAAGACTTCATCACCCACTGAAAAACACCACAACCATGTTAAATAATTGCTACCCATCCCACATCCCACATCTCACCCCCTGGCAAACACTTATATGCTTTCTGTCGCTAGGCATTTGCCCATTCTGGATATTTTATATAAAAGGAATCATACAAAATGTGACCTTTGGTATCTGTTTTCCTTCACTTAATCTTTTTGAGGTTAATCCAAATTGTAGCATGTATCGGTACATCATTCCTTTTTATGGCTGAATAATATTCCATCAGAGGCATATATCACAATTTGTTATCCAGTCACCTGTTGACATTTGAGTTGTTTATGCCTTTTGGATATTATGAATTGTGCTACTACGATTGTTCTTGGACAAGTATTTGAGTACTTGTTTTCAATTCTTTGGGGTATATGTCTAGGAGTAGAATTGCTGGGTCACATGGTAATTCTATGTTTAATTTTTTGACAGACCAAAAAGCTATTTTCCACAAGCAATGTACAGAAGTGATCTCCACATCATGGCCAAACTGGTTTTCCTTTTTTTTTTTTTTTCAAATTATATCCATCCTAGAGGGTGTAAAGTAGTAGGTAATTGTGGGTTTTTTTTTTTCATTCAGTGAACATTTATTGGCTGTGTTATACGTACTAGGTACAGAAACCAGGGCCAGATTCTTAAGTAAGTGGTATCTTCAAATAGATACCAAAAGGCATTTGATGAAATTCAACATCCATTCCTGATTTTTTTTAACTCTTATTAAAATAGAAGTAGATATTTTTTAAAATTGTGGTTTTAACCATTTTTAAATGTACAATTCGGTGGCATTAAGTACATTCACAATATTGTGTAACCATCACCACTATTTCCAGAACTTTTTCTTTATCCCAAAGAGAAATACTGTATCCATTGAAAAGTAACTCTTCAACAATCTTAGATCCCCTGTTTCCCTGGAGCTTCTATTCTATTTTGTCTCTATGACTTTCCCTATTCTAGGTACCTAATGTAGGTGGAATTATAAAGTATTTGCCCTTTTGTGTCTCATTTATTTCACTTAGCATACCTTTTCAACATTCATCTAGGTTGTAGCATGTATCAGAATTTCGGTCCTTTTTTTTATTGTGATAAAATATGCATAAAATGAAATTTACCATTTTAACATCTTTAAATGTACGGTTCAGTAGCATTAAAGACATTCACATTGTTGTGCCACCATCACCACCATTCATCTCCAGAACTTCATCCTCCTAAACTGAAACTCTCAACCCATTAAATAATAACTTCCCATTCCCTCCTTCCCCACCCGTGGCAACAGCCATTCTACTTTCTGTCTCTATGAATTTGACTACTCTAGGTTTCTCATATAAATGGAATTATACAGTATTTGTCCTCTGTCCCTGGATTATTTCACTTAGCTTAATGTCTTCAAGGTTCATCTATGTTATAGCATGTTTCAGAATTTTTTAAAAGGCTGAGTAATATTCCATTGTATGTATAGACCCAGAGTCTTGTAGTTTTCCCTCACAGAGATCTTGTACATATTTTGTTAGATTTATACCTAAATATTTGTTTTCTTTTTTCTTTTCTTTTTTGGTGCTGAAGTAAATGGTATTGGGTTTTTAATTTTAGTTGTTGGGACTTTCCTGGTGGTCCAGTGGCTAAGACTCCATGTTCCCAATGCAGGGGGCCCAGTTTCAATCCCTGGTCAGGGAACTACATCCCACGTGCCACAACTAAGAGTTTGCATGCCACAACGAAGATCCCATGTGCTGCAACTAAGACCTGATGCAGCCAAATAAACATTTAAAAAAAATTAAAAATAATTTGAATTGTTCATTACTGATCTATAAGAAAGCTATCAGCCAGCCACTGCACCCTTAACTTGATGCTACACTTCCCCTCACTAACTGTCCCCGTCTCAAGGCAGCACCAGAGGGGTCCAACCCCCATAACCAAGAGCGTCACTTCCTCCCCAAGAAGCCCAAGGCTCCTCCACACCTGCTGGAGAGCAGCTGGGCACTCTCAGCCTGAAGCATTCTCCCCTGTGCCAGGTCCATGCTGGGATCTGCAGAAACAGGTGAACTCCCATCCAGTAGTGAGAGAGGAAAGTTTAGGGGTCCTCATCCAAGCTAGAAGTTCAAAGGGAAGTCTTCTGGGAGAAAGTGCTTTTGAAGCTAAGATGCAGAGGCTAGCAATCTGTCTGGCAGAGTTGAAAGGTGAAGAGGGGGGTGTCACTGGTCATTTGTTGTGCTTGCTGTGAGTTCCCTGTGTGTCTAAACCCTAGTTCACCCATTTGCTTTCCTGCTTATGGCCTTTGCACTGTGCCCAGGTTAGAGACTGTGGACAAAGCTGAGGTGATGTCACTCTTGCTACAGTCTCCCTGTGCCCTATGAGAGGGCAAATGCCTAAGCGTGAAGCTGCTGGGTCTGGGTCTAGGTGAAGGTCCCGCTTTAGAAAATCATGCCAGACAGTTCTCCAAAGTGAGGGCAAATTTACACTCCCAGAGTCAGGAAGAAAAGACTCTATCTTTTTTATTTCACGAAGAAATCTGGCCCCCCTCCTCTCCCTACCACCATCCCCCATTCCCCGCCCTGCTTGGTCCAGGCCAACAGCAAGTCAGAGAGACAGGCAGAAGCTTGGGCAGGCTGAGGCTGCCTGAGAAGCCTCAAGCACTTTGGTCCTTACAGTCAACAAAAAACCCTGGTCTGCAGGACCAGAAGCAGCCCAGCCACATCCGATCATGGCTATAAATGGGAGCCTGGAATACGGAGCAAACCCTGCTGGCAGGAACAGTGAGCTGATCACATCAGCTCTCACAGGGAGACCCAGTATGATGGGGGGTGGGGCAGTGTGTGTGTGCAGGAAAAGCACAGTTTCTGGGCCTCACCTTCACCCCCATCTTCTTGTTTATCCTTGTCCTCAGGGCTGGTCCTAGAAGAGGGGCCATGCCCCGCAAACCATCTGCCGAGCCAGTCCGCAGTCCTCGGCCTATAAGTCAGAGGCATGTATCTGGCCACTGATCAGACTCACTGTTCTCACTACCACAGGAAGGTGTCCAGCTTGGCCTGGGAGGGAGGGAGCACTGTCCTGGCCCCCAGTCTCTGCTTAGCCCTGGCCTTGGGCTTGGGTTTAACGGGCAGTGAGCGGATCATAGTCGTGTCAGTCTGAAGGAAATGTCAAGGAAGAGGCCTAAAGAGGGGACTGGAATGGAATGCAGGGCAGGAAAGGCTCAGACTTGGTGGTGGGCAGCCCTGCTATACTGAGTAAGGTCTGGCTCTGCACACCTGGGGCTGCAGCCACTGGTGGGCTGGGGTCTGGGGGTACAGGTGAGGGATGATGTGGGCGCCACAGCTCAGCTCAGCCCAATGCTACAGAACAAGGATACAGGCTGGATGAATTTTGTCCGGCCTCCAAGTCCATCGAAGCCAGTCCTTACCTAAAGCAGAAGGAAGAGGTGAGTGGGCCAGGCTAATGGGCTAGGGGGCTGGCCACCCAGCCCCACCCCCAAGGAGGCTGGCACTTGCCACTTTTAGGAAACCACACTCACTGCATCTGTGCTGCGACAGGGCTCTGCCCTGGTCCTCTTGGTTTGTTTCTGGCCCAGGACAGCATTCCGGATGAAGACAGGGAAGGCACCAGCCAGCTCCTCATCAGGCTCTCCCAGACAGCGCTGGCCACCCAGCAAGAGCTGGGACTCCTGCAGAGGAGACCCCAGAGCCAGGCTTGATAAGCCGGATGGCAGCAAACAAGGAGGGTAGGAGGTGTGTTGGAATAGGATCAGGATCTCTGATGCTTCATCAGGAGGCAGGAAGGACAGTGAGTAGGGTTCCCAGGGTGGCTCCAAAGTGCTTCAGTCCTCCAGGGGTGAGAGGACTCTGGCAAGACCCTGACCTCTCAGAAAACCAGATTCATACTCAGTCCCGGCCAGAGTTGGAGGGTGATTGCCTGAGCTTCTTCTGGGAAGCCTTACCTGCTTGGGGCCTTTGGGCATCTTCTTGAGAACGTCCTGAACGGGAGAACTGCAAGAGCAAAACGTGAAGACAAGAGGCAGGTGAGCAAGACATAAGGGGTAGGTGAGGGACTTCCCTGTTGGCAGAGTGGTTAAGCATCCGCCTGCCAATACAGGGGACACGGGTTCGAGCCCTGGTGTGGAAAGATCCCACATGCCGCGGAGGAACTAAGCCTGTGCGCCACAACTACTGAGCCTGTGCTCTAGAGCCTGTGAGCCACAACTACTGAGCCTGTGCTCTAGAGCCCGTGAGCCACAACTACTGAGGCCCACATGCCTAGAGCCCGTGCTCTGCAACAAGAGAAGCCACCACAAGGAGAAGCGCGCGCACCGCAAGGAAGAGTAGCCCCCGCTCGCCGCAACTAGAGAAAGACCTCCGTGCAGCAAAGATGCAACGCAGCCATAAACAAACAAGCAAACAAATAAATATATTTTTAAAAGGGGGGGGCAGGCGAACCAGGCTCAGCACATTCCCCTTGGGGAGCCACCGCGTGGCATGGCTGCTGGCATGGCTGCGTGCTGGGCAAGGCACCTCAGTAATCCCTACCCCAAGAGCAGGTCTGTGAACAGCTGGATAGCCACAGCCACCAGAGTGGTGGAGGCAGGGGAGGTTGGGCCATATTTCAATCTTGTGGCTTCCACTCAGGGACAAACCAATTCCACTCACCATTGGAATGATGGGCTCTCAGTCACCTCACCACATCCTGGGCTGTATGTGGGGCTGGAGAGCCCAACAAATTCACTACCCACAGAAGGCAGGCCACTCATGCCCTGAAAATGAGCTCAGGCCTAGCCCCATCTGCCCAGAGAGGGGTCACCACCTCCAGAGGACCCTCAGTAAGTTAGAGAGCCCGTAAAGTACTCTCAGAACACAGGGTTAGGCCATCTCCCTAGATAAATCTGTGCAGGTAGGGTCTGGGGCAGAACAGGTCATGGCCCCAGGCCCTAGTCTGCCACTCCTAGTTCCAGAGCTGGACCCAGTGTTTCCATCCAACTCCTGGGGACCCTAGCAGCTGGATACCCTCTTCTCATATCTTCCCAGAAGAGTGGGAGAATGGTGACCTAAGGCTGACCCTGTGGATTCTCAAAGCCATAAGGACAGGGGCAGGATCAGGGCCTGCAAATATTGAACCCCTCTGTTCCTGCCCCCATAGCCTGTGGTGATGCCGCATGATGACCATGGGAAGAATCTCCTCTTGCTCCACTTGCAAGTCCGGTTCTGGGGAGGCTGGGCTCCCTCACCCCCCTCACAGGCACTGAAGATGGTAGAAATGTCTCTAAAAGGTATGGTAGCCTGCAGGCCCCAGGTGCCCACTTTCAACCTGTATAGTTAAAGAGGCAACAAGAGGAAGCCAGAGTACCGAGCAGGCACTGATAGGCCCCCTGACTGTAGCCCACATGCTCTAGGTTTGTTTCTCACTGCTACCAGGCCTGGCCCTATACAGCACTGGTGCCTCTGCCCCTGAGTCTGGGGAGGGGTAGAAAATCCAGCTGGCTTTCCCTTTTGTCCTCTCCCTGGGCCTCCTCTACCTCCACTGCCTAACATCTCAATTTCTTTCTCTCATGTCCAAAGTCTTTGACTGAGAAAAAACTTGCTCAGCCCCTGACTCCCTTACCTGAGCAGCGTACAACTACATGGATGTACAGGAGTAGCTCTTGTCTCCATGATGAACTAGTGGCCTGCCTGGCCAAGGACACAGCCTCCCTACTCCCAGTCCCACTGTACCAATAGTGCAGGTCCCACCCATACCACTGCAGCTCCTCAT